ATCGGTGTTTAACAGGCGTCGCCCCCGCGGTGTTTTTGAAGACTCGGTTTTAGCGGTCGAAAAACTTTCGCGTGGAAACGGGCTCTGATTACCAAGTGTGAGGATTTAGGATCGAGCTCAGAAAAGAGAATCGTAATTGATTGATCCATCTGGGTACAACACGAGGCTATATATAGGCTCAACACAAGGCAGGTAACCCAGGTGTTACGAGAATGTTCTGAGGGTCGCGAAGCGTCCCGAACAGAACCTTCTCGAACTCAGTAGAAAGCAATTCGGTGAAAACCGAATAGGATTGAGTTCGGTACACGCAACCTGGTTTGGTGCTATAACTATAATAAAATATAGAAATGCACCTAACCTAGGAAATCAAGCATATCTATGCATGATAAACAAAACCCAAGCTAGATATAGCATAATAAAGTCTAGGCAAGCTAGCAAAGCCAGCATAAGCCGTCGTCATAAGTTGTATGAGGAGGTTTCAATTTTACGGTACTAAAGCTTCTCATACTATCCTAGAGCATTCAAACAATACATACAGCTCGTTAGTGTTGCAAAATGGATTATACAATAATAGATTCATGTACGCAACACGAACTAACACAACCGAATACTAAGGCGAGGAGTCAGACGAGTCAAAGCGACGAAAGTGGTTGTCAGGGAAGAACCTATGTAGGCGGAAACATTTGAGCTAGTAGTGGCGGGAACAGGTTTGAAACGGGTTCCCACGTCGCACGGTTGAATCTCGTTGCAAGAAGAGAATGTACCCTTAGAATACATGGCTAGTTAGGACTTTTGTATTCTCCTGTATTCTTATTTTAAGAAATGTATGCACATGCTATACTCATTCCAATCATTTACTAGGAGAAACTGACTCCGGTACTAGAGGCCTCGAGGTACCTCACGAAGTTGTACCAGTCGAAGGATTCAGTCAATTCCAGCAAGATTATCAACAACACATGGAGATGAAAATGGGGCACGGGGAGAAAGCGAAGTCGTACATTAATCGTTGTCGAAGCAGCCGTGACCACATTGCGAAGCACGAGAGCACCATCTTGGAGGAGATGTTCGTCAACATAGTGCTCGCCGGACTCGGGCCAGAGTGGAGGCGACAGCAGGGAGCAATTTCAGAAGCTTCCCTTTTTGCCGCCCTTCTTGTTGAATAGCAAGACATGGAGTCCAACAACAAAGCAAATTCCGCGTCGTAACGAGAATTCCTCGCCTTCTATACGGACAATAGAGAATAACGACAACAACCGCGGCGCCAAATCTGCAAAATTTTTGGGCACTCAAATATTTGATGCAGATTTCGATCCAACACACGCCACCCAAACTCCACTCGCCACAATAATTGGGTCGGCCGATAAGATACACGCCAGTCCCAACAAGCTCCCCGTCCACCTGCGCAAAAACAACAGCAGCAAACACAAACGGCACAAACAGGAAGAACCAGGAAGATTATTAGCAACATGCGATGCGCCGCACAAGAGGGGAACGCAGCGCGCGGCCACCTACAACTGACCTTGAAGAAATCATCAGCGAGCCAAGACAGCCTGAAGAGGACATCAACCCCCCTCTCTCTCTCTCAAGCGGTCCATCATTGATAATACGCAAGGTACAGGCCAGGCATGCAAGAATCAGCCATCCTAGCATGCAGTCTAGCGAACAAGCCGAGAAGCAGGCAAACAAACAAGCAAGCAACGACCCATATCCATCCTGCTAATTTGCTCGGCTAGCCAGGGCCTACCGAGTGCCTGGGGGAAGGCCCGTTCCGTTGCCCTATTCGACTTGGCCAGCATGGTGTTGGCCTGGCTGTGCTGTAGCATTACCGACCAGCGCTGCCGGTAATGTGCAGTGAGCATGGAGGCCACAGTAGTAAGCCTCCCCTGTCTGTACTTCTTCTTGGCCGCCGACGTTCCAAGCATGCGAAGGAACTTCTGGGTATCCCGGGCTAGGGCCCCGTAGGTTTCCACCGCCAAGACGAGCACGCCAACAAACTCCGGGCGACCCTCGTATAAGCCCCTTTTCCCCCTTGCCGCATCCTCTGCCGCCCAGCCCGGCGGCTTCACTGCCCTTGTGTCTCGACGCTGCAGCACTGGATCAGTCACTGTGACGTCCGTCACATAGGTTTCTGCTGACTCCTTGTCATTGATGACCAGGTCCGCTCGCTTGGGGTTAACAATTTGCAAGAAGGCCGTGGTCTCATGGGCAGTCATATAGTCAGCTTCGTTGGCCATCCGTAGTGCCGCGTACACCAGGCTGTTGTGTGTGTTTGTCCTATCCTTCCCCTCCGCACATCTCAGGAGGTGGTTGGGGAGGCTTCGGTCGTCTATCTTGGACCGTTGCTTCCCGCACGGGCAGTTGTCCGTCACTGCTAAGGTGAGGCCCAGCCGAAAACCCAAGGCCATTGCGAACTGGCCCGGTGAGAACGTAAGGTCCGCCCGTGTGGGGATGGCATGAAGCCAGTCCCCCGCTCCCCCTGCAGGCTGATCAGGGGGACAACGTGGCCGCTATCTTCGCCTGGCTTGTCAACCCGTGTGTCCCCAACCAGTTCCGCTGCCCTGTCCATGTTTATCAGCCTGGAGAGGTGTTCCTGCATGCGTCCTTTCCCCTCCCCGCCCCTGTCCATTGCTCGTAGCATCTCTCTTGCCGCTTCGGGGAGTCTGTTCCGTAGATCCCTGATGGATGTCCCGTCTTCCCCTGTGGCTCCGTCCCCGTGTGGTGACACCAGTGCCGCCACGCACTGCAGGTGGTGGCTGAGAGTTGCTGACACATGCTGTAGGAGAATCTGCGCTGCCTGCAGTGAAGCCAGGTATGCCGCTGGTGCCTCTGAGAGTGGGTCTATGATTCCCAGGCCCCCGAGCGCAATCGGCAGTGTCGCCTGCCTCCACACCAGGCTCTGCTCTAGTTCCTTACTCGTCGTGTGTAGGTGTGCCGCTTTCAGCGCTGTCCACAGGAGTCTCTCGCTCCACTCTCTGCATTCTCTGCGGGGAAGTACGTCCGCTAGTGTTGTCCGTAAGAGGTACGAGATCCTACGCGAGATGCACCGCGATAGGAGTAGCAGAGCGTGTTGCAGGTGGAGTTTGCCGATGAGCCCCAATGGTGCCGCTTTTGCCTCGAGTGTCCCCTTGATGGTGCGTTGGCAGAATGCCATAGTGCCAATTGGGCTTCCTAGCACCCGCACTCCGTCCACTGCCGTCGCCAGGCCTTCCGGGAGTTGGCCTGTGAATCCCGAAGGGCTCCAGGCGGATGATTTGGCCAGGTTGCACCGTAGGCCGCAGGCTCCCAATTCGTCCCTGATCTTATTCAGCGCCCTTGACGCCCTTGCCGGATCGCCCACGATCGTGAGGTCGTCCGCGTATGCCATCACGGTCACCGTTGGGTCTGCCTCTGCCGCCGCTAGGAGCACTGGTTGGATGGCCGCCGCGAAAAGCATTGGCCCGAGCGGGTCTCCCTGTCGCACTCCCCGCACACTGTTGATGTGAGGCGTGTCGAACCCGCTATCCAGCAGGAGTATCGATGGTGCACCGTAGAGCGTGCGGGCCAATGGCATGAGTGATGCCAGGCCGGTCCATTGTAGCGTCGATAGGAAACTTCCGCGCTCCACCGAATTGAATGCGTTTTCGATGTCTAAATGTAGGATCACCCTCGTGGGGTCCTCCGCCACTAGCACCCGTGTCGAGTGAATGATGCACTCCGCTCCTCCAGATACTACCACTCCAAATTGTACGGGTAGGAAGCACTCCTGGATTTCCCCCGCTAGTTCCTTTAGCGCCGCTTTTGCCGTTACTCTGAGCAGCGCCTCCCCTATCGCGATTGGTCGGACTCCTCCGTCCGGCTTTTCCAGGGCGATTAGCCGGGATGGGAGCAACAGCTCCTGTACTGCCTCCGGCTGGTAGGTGCTTAGCAGCCGATTAACTACCTTGTGTAGGAGAGCGAAGACCTCCCAGTTGGTTAAGGCAGGGTCGCGTAAGTGCTCGAAGCACGTCCCAGATGGCCCTGCTCCTATCCCGTTTGGGCATTTCGCCAATACTTCGCGAAACGACTCCGCACTGATTGCGAGCTCGGAAGTTGCTAAACCCGTGATTCCCTCCGGTATCGCCAATTCCTGGGTTGGGTGTTTAGAGAGAAGAGCTTCCAGTGTTGTTTGCGAAGGCTCGGCCAGTGGCGAGGTGTATAACGCTGCTGTCGCTTTCGCCAGGTTGGCTTTCCGTACCAGCCCTTCTGCTCTGGCGCAGATTCTTTCAGGGTCCGGTTCATGCCGGTCCGGTTTTGAATTAGGGGGAAAGTGCTGGCCTGGATGTACAGTGCGTCCCACTCCTCTTCTCGGAACTGTCGAAGCCGAGCCTCGACTGCCTGCCATCTGTTTCCCGGAGCTGTCTCCATGTCCGCCTGTAATGTGAGTCTGGGGAGGAATTGTAACATCCGCCACGCGCCGAGGCAGTCTGAATGCTTCGAGAGTCGCAGGAGTGGTACGGTCATGCAGTGGCTGAACACCTTCAGGGTTTCTGGAGGGAGTCTCTAAACCAGGAACGGCTGTGCACTGGCACGGAGAGGTCCCAGATCCCAATCCACTACCTTGTGCCATGCGTTCTCATCCTCAGCGATCTTCAGGGGTGCCCTCTCCTTGTTGGCAGCCTCATTGGCCCCTTGGGCTTCTGATTCGCCCACCTGTGCGTAATTTCCTCGATCCTCCCGTCCCTGTCTACCTCCACGTCGTCTACCCCCTTCCCCATTCGTGGGGATCCCCTCCTCTGCCTCGACACAGACGTCTTCTGACTCCTCCTCTTGTTCCTCCATATATTCTGACCCCTCCTCCCATGCAGGTTCATTCATTGGTTCATCCCCGGTCTCCTCTGGCCTCCCGTGCCATTCCCGCCAGTTTCCAGATCTGGCCTTCTCCCTTGCAACCGCTCTCACCAGCTCGCCCATGCGCCCGCCCCTGCCTCGGCCTCGCCTGCGGCCTCTGGTGGCCGGTTCGCGGCTGTTGGCCTGCGACTAGGTCATCCGATCTTTCCTGCACGCCTTCTCCGATCCGCGGCGCTTGCCGCCAACACCGCTACCTCCTCGTGAGCCTCGTCATCTGCCTGCTTTACCGCCCGTCGCTCCACCTCCCCCTCCTCCTGAGCCTCTTGGCGCTGCTGTGATGATGGGAAAACGTCCGCAGCGGGATCGCGCGGCAGGGTACTCTGGTGTTCCCAACCCGCCAGAGGCCCGGGACGAGCGGGCGCCAGTCCTACTCCGAGCCGCCGCTGCCCTGATCGCGCGCGAGGGGGCCGGGGCCCCCTATCATCCGCGTGAGCCGGTGTATCGCTCGCCCCGCGGGCGTACCCACCCTCATCTGCGGGCCCGTGGTGGTTCCTTTCGTCGTCGCCGACCGCCTCGGCCACCGCCTGCCCTGCAGCGACAGATTGTCGGTCCGCATCTCCAGGCGCCCTCTCCGCAGCCGCCTCCTCCTCTACCTCCTCCACCGACGTCTCAGCAGTCATCCCAGCAGCAGTCGTCCGGTCCAGCTGCCTCGTCACCTTTGGTGGCCTCTCCAGTGTTGACGTCGTCGCCGCTAACGGCAGCGGGCTCTCTCCCGCCTCCCCTTTCGGTGCCTCCGCAGTAGGAGTCGCCCGCTGGTGCACATCTCGTGCCCCCCCTTCCTGCTCAGATACTTGTCGCTGCTGATCCTCTGTCTGAGCCTCCTCAGCGGCAGCATCCCCTCGTTTATCTTGACCCAGCACCCATCGCTCGTTTCCCTCCGCCACGGCCTCGTGCACAGTCTCCCCTGCTTCCGCTCGACGCACATGATCCTGAGGACGACAAGAAGTGATGGAACGGCGAGCTGTGGGAGTCTCCTCCTCAGTCCGGGACGACGTGGGGTCGGGACTGGGACATGAAGTCCGACTTCGTCCTTGATGTCCTCCGTTGGGAGTGGCGCATGATTGGTGTTGGCGAGTGCCTCTCCCACGTGCGTTGGAGCAGCTGCATGCTGGTCTGGAGGCGCGGAACTTCGTGCTACAGGATCCCCAGCTGACCGAGCAGCAGCAGGGTGTTGTCCTTGAGGCTGCGGCGCAGGGCTTGTGGCGGCTCCTCCGCTTGCCCCTAGAGTCTGAGCATCCTGACGAGAACGAGGGGCCGGGCGCGAGGGCTTTCCGCAGGGTCGCCACGGCTGCCGAAGAAGCAACCCTGCAGCTTGTGCCTGCGCTCGCGTCATTGCTCCGCTAGATCCGCCAGCGTTTTTACGTGTTGAACCACGTTTAGTGTTCTCCCCCTTCTGGGCCTTGCCATTTGCCTTTTTGTTCCCCATCCTTTCCCCGTCCTACTTACCTTGCCCGTGGTGTTTGGGCGTAGCTACTGCTGCATGTTGGATGTACTGCTAATGGTGATTGTCGCTATTTCCTTGCCACCCCTCTCGCGCGGCCGAAGGCCGCGCTGTCGAGCGGCGCGAGCCGCCGATATTTGCAGTGAGAATGAACTCACCACCAAACAATGAGGAGGGGAATGGGCTCCTTGCACTTATATACTAAAGAACTAGGCAGAAGTGGCTAAGGACTAGGCTAGGCTAAGGAACTAGGCAAAGATATGGCTAAGGACTAGGACCCAAGGGTCTCTCTCTCTCTCTCTCTCTCTCTCTAATGGTCCGTGCATTGATATAGCATATGAGGTACACAAATGCAAGGTCTATCAAATACACAACAAGGATAGACTAACCTAAGAACAACCAAACAAACTAACAAGGAACCTGCGGCCTGCCCCCTTAAACTTCCACTAGGGGCTCAATCACTGTAAAGCTATCACCCAGGTGGAGTTCGTGTTGCGTTCCCCCAACCGGTGGGTGCTCTGCCAGGGCTGCTTGGCAGGACTTCATAAGGTAACCCACCGACTGGGCCCGCTGCAGCGCCACTGACCATCTCTGCCGAAAGAGGTGGAGGAATCTAGCTGCATGATAGGAGTTAGGTTCGGCGTTGAAGTGTCGCCTAGCAGCTGAATCCGCCAGCAATTTCATGAAGACCGGTACCTCCGCACATGGGCACCCGTATGTCTCCACAACCAAAGGAAAGAATCCCACCGTGTCAGGCCGGCTAGCGTAGTGTTGGATTTTCTTATCCGCCTGCTCCCTCGCTGCCCATCCCCTGCCCTTCGCCGCCGTCTTATCACGGGTACTGATCGGGTCCGTTATGGTTACATCGCAAATGTAGACCGCGCCTGAGCTCCGATCCATCATCGTAAGATCCGCCGTCTGCTCGTCCACTGGGCAATAGGCCGCTGACTCTGTGTGCACGATGAAGCCTGCATCTCGTGCCATGCTGGCGCATGCGTCCCTCAACTCATTGTGCGTGTTGATCCTGTGTTTCCCCGTACCACAGCGAAAAAGGTGGTTGGGCAGTCTCGGGTCCGTGATCTCGACGTGCTTCGAGCAATCGCATTTTGCCGGTGTTGCGAAAGGCAGGCCCAGCCGGAATCGAACCGCGTTTGCAAAGTGCTCCCTTCCTATCCGCCTCGTGTTTTCAATCGGTATTGCCAGCAACCAATCGCCAGAACCGTAGCCGGTGAGGGAGAAAAGACGCTGCGTGTGACTGCAAAGCGGGTTTGGTCTCATGTGGCGAGACTCCCGGACCTGTTTTGCGTATCTGCTCCCCTGAACCTGAACCGAGAGGGCGTGCTGCAGCCTTATCCCCGCTGGTTCTATCCTCTCCTTCTCCAATATTTCCCTCGCTTCGAGCGGCAGCGCCGCTGCACATTCCGTCAACCAAGAGTGAAGGCCAGTGTCTGTATCTCTAGGCAGCAACATGTGGTTTTTGGCTGTGGATAGCACGTCGTCCGGTTCCAGCGGCATGGAGCTCAGCAGTAGTGACGCCTGCGTGAAACTAGCAAGGAAACCGAACACGCCCTCTACGGTGGGATCTATAATGCCAATCCCGCCCAGTGACGGCGGCAGGGAAGACTGCTCCCAAACCCGCGTCTGCTCTGCCTCACTGGAAGGATAACGTATGCCGCATGCGGCTAGCAGGGTGGCGAGCAGGTCTCGGCCCCATTGTGACCATGCCTCGTCGGGCAGGAGGTTGAGCGGGGTTGTCCTCGTCAGGTAAGCTACCCGTCGCGAGATACATCGTGTGAGTAGCAGTGATGCTATTTGCGGATCCGTGCGTTCGAGTAGCGGGAGCGGCTTGGGAGCAGAATTGAACCCAAAACCGAATAATGAAGATGAAACAAGGCCTCTAAGGCCTTTATACTAGAGCTAGAGAGGCTAGGGAGGCTAAGGGGAGGCTTGAGAGGCTAAGTCACTAGGTGCCTCTCTCTCTAATGGACCTTGTATTGATATAGCAAGAGGGTACAAGCATGCAAGTTATAGGCTCTGGGTAACAAACAAGCAAGCCACAAAAACCACAAATTCCCTCTACAACTCCACTAGGGGCTCAATGACTGCAAAGCAGTCCCCAAGGTGTAACTCGTCTCCAATTCCCCCCACAGGCGGGTTCTCTGCAGCCGCTGCCTCCCCTAGCTTGAGCAGGAGGCCTACGGACTGAGCCCTTTGGAGGGCCACTGACCAACGTTGCCTGAACTGATGTAGGAACTTTGCAGCATAGAATGATTTGGAGTCGGCGTTGAAGTGGCGCCGAGCTGCAGTGTCCGCCAATAGCTTTAGGAAAACAGGCACCTCGGCGCAAGGACAGCCGTGGGTATCCACCGCTAGGGGGAAGAAATTCACTGTCTCTGGCCGGGCAGCGTAGTGCTGGATCTTCTTGTCAGCCTGCTCCCTAGCCGCCCAGCCCCTGCCCTTCTGTGCCTCCGGGTCTCTCGTGCTGATGGGATCCGTGACGGTGACGTCGCACACGTAGACAGCCCCACTGCTTCTGTCCGTCATCGTAAAGTCCGCGGTCTGTTCCTCAATGGGGCAGTATGCCGTGGTCTCGCTATGAACCCCGCATCTTGGGCCATGCTAATGCATGCATCCCGCAGCTCATTGTGCGTGTTGATACGGTGTTTACCCGTGCCGCATCGGAGAAGGTGGTTAGGGAGGCGGGGGTCTGTGATAGCGATATGTTCTGAGCAGTCACAGTTTTTAGGCGTAGAAAAGGGGAGGGCCAGCCGGAAACGCACGGCATTGGAGAAGTGAATGGGCCCTATCCTCCTGTTCGCCGCAACAGGGATAGCCGTCAACCAGTCCCCTGTCCCGTACCCCGTCAGTGAAAACATCCGCTGCGTATGTCCGCACAAGGGATTCAGCTCCATCTGTCGAGTCTCCTGCACCTGCACGGCATATCTGCTCCCATGTACCTTCAAAGCCAGCGCATGCTGCAGTCTCACATCCGACCGCTTCAGCCGCTCCTTCGCTAGGAGCTCCCGTGCGTCAAGGGGCAACGTGGCTTCACACTCGGCGAGCCACGCGTGGAGGGGAGTGCTGACGTCGGCAGGCAGCAGCATGTGGTCTCTGGCCAGGGGCAGCGCGTTTGACGGCGCACACTCTATGGATGCCAAGAACAGGGCGGCCTGTGTGAAGCTCTCCGCGAAACCGTACACCCCTTCGATTAAGGGGTCCGTAATGCCGACCCCCCCCAGCGATGGCGGCAGTGAAGCTTGCGCCCAAACGCGAGCTTGCTCATTGCGGCTGGTTGGGACACGGATGTCGCATGCTGTTAGCAATGTCGTAAGCAAGTCCATCCCCCACTGGCTCCAGGTATCGCGGTTCAGTAAGCGCAGCGGCGTAGTCCTAGTGAGGTATGCCACCCGCCTCGAGATACAGCGGGTGAGCAGAAGTGACGCGACCTGGGGATCAGCTTTCTCTAGGAGCGGGAGTGGTTTCGCCATCTCTTGTAGCTGTCCTGACAGAAACTGCGCCGCCCCGCCGTCGGGGCCCACGAAACTCCCCAGCAGATGCACGCCGTCCCTGGAGAAAGGAACTCCCCGCGGGAGTTGGTCGATGTCAGCTGCTGCGCTGCTCCAGGCTGCACACTTACGCGGATTATGGGACAGCCCCAGTTGAGTCAAGGTGGATGTGAAGGAGTTGAATGCCGCTACAGTGTCAGCCACGTTCCCAATGAACGTGACATCATCTGCGTAGGCCAGACAAAGCACGTTCGGGTGCGTGGCGGCGGTGTCACAAAGTGTGGCGTGCATCCCAGCCGCGAACAGTAATGGACCCAATGGGTCTCCCTGGCGGACACCGCTTTCGCTCCGTAGGGGTTCGGAATTGAAATTGACATCCAGGAGCAGCTGCGACGGGTTACCGTATGTGAGTTTCACGAATGGCAGTAGTGGCGAGAGGGCGGGGTGTTGTAACGCTGACGCAATGGCATGACGCGAAATGCTGTTGAACGCGTTCGCAATGTCTGCTTGCAGCACGAGGCTAGTGGGGTGGGCGTCCAAGTAGGCTCGGGACGCGTGAATCACTGTTTCGGCTCCACCTGGCACGGCCACCCCGTACTGTAGGGGCAGGAAGAAGCCGCGGGCTGCTTCTCCCATCGCTGATAGGGCCGCCTTGGCAGTCAGCCTCGTCAGGCATTCGCCTATTGCGATAGGCCGAGCCCCTCCCCCAGGTTTGGCCAAGGCGATCAGTCGCGACGCGGTGAGGAGGTTTGCCACCGGGTCTGGCAAATTCCCTCCCAGGATGGTGTTTACTAAGGCGTGCAGGTGGGTGCGGACCAGTGCATTTGTGATTGCCGCGTCGCGCAGATGCTCAAATGTCATGCCCGACGGCCCGGCTCCAACTCCATTCTCACATCTGCCCAGCGTTTTGGCGAAGTCAGCATGCGAGATTGAAAGCGTTGACCCTTGCGGCGCGGGCCACGTCACATCCCCCGGTTCAGCAGACGGGTGCTTCAGTTGCAACTCCTCCAGGATTTCGGGGCTCGGGGTACAGACGGGCGTTGACTCCAGCGCTAATACGGCCCGTCGCAGGCTGCCACGTTTCGCCAGGCCCTCGGCCCGGCTTATCACACCAGTCGCGTCCGGCTGGTGCCGAGGCGGAGAAGGCGCGTTGACTGCATCCACCGCGTCCTGGTATAGTTGCTCCCATTCGCCACACTGGAAGGCTCGGAGGCGAGCCTTGATTTTCAGCCAATTCGGACGACACGGCGAGCTTTGGCGAAGTGTTAGTCGTGGCAGAAATAACAGAAGGCGCCAACCCATCTCTGACTCGGGGTTTCGCGAGAGGTGTAGCAATGGTGTCAGTAACGCCAGCGAGAACAGCTGGCCCAAATTTGGTGGCAAGCGACGCGACAGCGAGGGCTGACGACTGTCGCACAGTGCTGCGATATCCCAATGCCCAACAGAGGCGAACAAGTCAGCTCGCCTCGCCAACTCGTCAGGCGAAAAATAGCGGGGCGTCGGGGCGGTTGTGTGTGTAGCAGGATCTGCATTCGTGGTCCGATTTCTCCGAACGCGACCCGTTTGTGCAGGGGTGGATGTGGTTGGAAGCACACCCGTCCGATCAGCATCGGACGGTGCTTGTGTCACCCGTGCCCTATGCCCGTGTGTTTGCTCCCCAGCTGCTTCCCTTCTCCCTGGTCCCCTTCTCCCCGATCTGTCTCTCGTCCTTGCCCCGCCTTCCTCTTCCTCGGACTCATCAGTCTCACTCGAGGCTGCTGGTTCCTCCCTATAAGAAGCATCCTGAAGCTCATCGTCGTCATTAGCTGCCTCTAAGTTATTTAAAGCCACACGACCCGCCGCCTGGTAACCATTCTCCGGTCCCCCGCCCGCTCCGCTTTCCGTACGCCTTCCTGCCCCGCGACCTCCCTGCGCCCGCGATGGTGATTGCCGGAGCTCCTGAGCCGTCGCCAGAGCTCGTTGCCTCTTGGTCGGCTGTCGCCGCCAATCTCCGGTCGGCTCCCGAAACGGGGACCACGGCGAAGAAGCCCCCTGTACCACCGGCTCCGAGGCCCTCGACAGCAATCTCTGAAAAGCTTCCTCCCCCCGAACACGTGGCCCTGTCCGCGGCGAAGCCTGATCCTGCCGGCCTGGTCCCTGCGCCGGCCGCCCCGACTGCTGCTCCTGTTCCGGTGGCTCCTCTGGATCTTCACGAGGGTTCGGCGTCAGCTGGCCACGGGGGGGTTCCTGCTGAGTCGTCCGTCCCTGCGGCTGGCTCCCTTGCACCGCCTGCTGGTGCTCTTGCCGCGATTGTTCCTGTTCCAAGGGAGAATGCTGCCCGCCCGCTGCTGTCCCGGGGGCGCTGGCTCCTGCTCCGGGCATTCCCGGTCCTCCGCCTGCTGCCGCCCCTGGCGCGCCCGCTCCTGTCGCTGGCGTGCCCGCTGCCCCGCCTGTTGGGGTCTTTGGCTCGCCTGCTCCGGTCTCTGCCTCGTCCCTGCAAGCGGCATCCGTCACCACTGGCGGCCCGGCCCCGCCGGCGGAGCCTCCCGCGGTGGGTCGCCCCGCTGCCGCGGCTCTCCCTGTTGCGCCGACTGGCCAGCCTGTGCGCAAGTCACGTCCCCACTCGCCGGCGCCCCACCAGGTTCGCCAGTCATCTCGCCGCCGGCGTGACTCTCCCCGCCGATATCAGCAGTCGGCTCAATGGCCTGCTCACCACGGTGGCCAGGGGGACTGGAGGGGTCCCCGCGGGCGTGGGGGCGGATTTCGTCCCCCCGTGATGATGGCTGACCTTCAGCGGGAGGTGTCGAGGGCCGTACGCGAGGAGAGGGCCGCGCAGAGTCAGAGCAGCTCGATGCGCGCCCTGCCGGCCCCCGAGGCTCCTCGCCAGCCTGTGCTCCCGTCCAGTCCGCCTCCCGTTGCTGCACCGCCACCGCAGAATCCCTTCCCGGCGGCTCCCGCTCCGACTGCGTCGGCCTCTGCCCTTGGGTCGCGTCTTCACCTGCCGCCTGTTCCGCCTGTTTCGGGTGTCGAGTTTGTGGCCGCTGGAGGCGGCTCGGGGACAGGGCTGTACCCTCAGTCTGCTGCAGTCGAGGAGCCGTTCCAGTTCTTGGCGGAGGCTCTTCAGCCTCTGCAGACGCGCGTTCCCGAGACGACCCTTGGTCAGCTCCACCGTCTCGCGGAGAGCTTGCATGCGCTTCTGTTGATTCAGGTGCTTGCGCACTCATCTCTCCCCGCCATCCCTCCCGAGTCCTTTCGCAGCCGCCAGCGAGAGACGTGCCTGGACGCGGCGGACCAGCTCGCGGTTTTGCTGGCGCCCGTGCTGGCTGCGCCCGCGGAGGGAGGCGCTGCTGCCGCGGGACAGCTTGGCGAGGCTGTCCGTGGCATGCGGCGGCACTTGCGCGCAGGATCTGGAGCCGCGGCGATCGGCGCAAGCACGCTTGTGGTCCGGGAGCTGTGGCGCTCCCTGACGGGCATTCTTCACGCCCTTGGAGCTCACCGCATGTAGACGCGGGCTCCGTTTGCCCCATGCTTGGTTTGCTTGGCTAGGCTACCGTAGCAAATGCCATGCTTGTACAGCCTTCGACTATGAACCACTGTGTGTGTTGTCACTTGCCGTCCCCTCACGCGCGGTCGAAGGCCGCGCAGTCGAGCGTCGGCCGCCGAAGGCGGCCGGCGCGAGCTACAAAATTCTGCACCCACCCGAACAATGAGATGAAGAGGCCCAGAGGGGCCTCTTATATGGCTCCCAAAGGGGAGGGCAGAGGGCTAAAGGGGAGAGGGCAGAGGCTAGGATCCTCTCTCTCTCTCTCTCTCTCTCTCTCTCTCTCTCTCTCTCTCTCTCTCTCTCTCTCGCTCTCTCGAACGAGCTACAAAATTCTGCACCCACCCGAACAATGAGATGAAGAGGCCCAGAGGGGCCTCTTATATGGCGGATGAAATTTTTTCCCTCGTTCGAGAGAAACTTTGTATTCCTTTCCTAACCCTCACCACGCCCCTGTATTCCTCCACCGCTGCCACCCAGCCCCTCCATGTCACCGAGTGCCCTTCTCCCCAGCCCCTCAAGCCGCTCTAGCTGGAGCCTGGCGCTCCTCATACTCATCCACCTGCACCTGCCAAAGGTCTCCCAGCCGGGGTGCCCAAGGGTCCGCTGCAGCCTGAGGGAATGCCGCTTCCGCTGCCCGGTTTGACTTGGAGAGAAGGGACGTCGCCTGGCTGCGTTGGAGCATCACCGACCACCGCTGCCTGTAGTGTGCATTGAGGCGGGCAGCTGTGGTGGTGAGGCGCCCCTGGCGGTACTTCTTCTTTGCCGCATAAGTGGCCAGCATACGGAGGAACTGTTGAGTGTCCGTCGCCAACGCCCCGTAGGTCTCAACCGCTAGGCCGAAGAAACCCACGTAGCCAGGCCGCCCCTCGTAGAGCCTGTGCTTGGTCCGCGATGCCTCCTCGGCTGCCCATCCCGGCGGGTCAGTCACAGTCACGTCCGTCGCCCAAGTCTCTCCCGACTCTTGGTCCCTGACAGCTAGGTCCGCACGCTTGTTCTGGACAGGGGGAGAGAATGCGGTGGTCTCGTGAAAGGTCTTGTACCCGGCTTCCTGCGCCATGCGAAGAGCAGCGAAGGCCAGCGCATTGTGGGTGCACACAGCATCCCCCCCGTCAGCACACCGCAGCAGGTGGTTCGGCAGGCTCTTGTCGGCTATCTTGGAGTTGGATCTCTTGCAGGGGCAGACCTCCGCAACCGGTAGTTCCATGCCAAGGCGCAAGCCTAGTGCCAAGGAGAACTGACCAGGGGATAGTGAGAGGTCAGCCCTCGTGGGCACTGCATGGAGCCAGTCGCCTGCTCCCACTCCTTTCAGGCTGATGAGCCGAATGGCATGGCCTCGGTCCGCCCCCGGCCTATCGGTTACCGTGTCTGCCAGCAGCTCCTCCGCCCTCGTGTGATTGATGGCCTTGGAGAGCCCCAGCTGCAGGTTGCCCACACCTCTCGGGTTCTCCCTGTAGCTGCGCAGAACCGCTGCTGCCTGAGCTGGGAGCTTCGCCTCGAGCGGGGACAGCGGGTTCACCCGGGGGGGAGGTGGGGTCCACGTCGGGGAAAGTATTTCCCCGGCCCTGTGAAGTAGGTAGTCTGCCGGCAGGTTCAGTTGCTGCAGTAGAATGTGCGCCGCTGCAGTCGAGGCCAGGTACGCAGCTGGGGCTTCAGAAATGGGATCAATGATTCCCAAGCCTCCCAGCCGGACCGGGAGCGTTGCCTGGCGCCACAGCAGGCTTTGATCTAGCTCGCTCGGCGGGATCCGTAGCTTCGATGCAGTGAGCCCTGCTCCTACCAATGCCTCGCTCCACTCCCTCCACTCCGTACGGGCCAGTGCTTCTGCCGGTGTCGTGCGAAGTAGGTATGAGATGCGGTGGGAGATGCTCCGAGATAGCATGAGCAGGGCGTGCTGCGAGATGAGTTGGGAGACGAGGGGTAGCGGCGCAGCTGCCTCCGCAAGCGCCTCCCGGACCTGGTCGGTGCAGAAAGCATCGCTGCCAACCGGGCTGCCCAACACCTTTAAACCGCCTGGGAGGGTGGGAAGGCCGTGTGGCAGGCCGTCTCCCCCTTCCTCCCGTCCCGCGCACCATGCCGCTGACTTGGCGAGGTTGCACCGTAGCCCGCATGAAGCCAGCTCCGCAACGACCGTGTTGAAAGCCACGCACGCTGCTTCGCGAGGTCCCACGATGGTGATATCGTCAGCATAAGCCACTATTGCCACCTCCGGGACACTTGTAGCCACGCCGAGCAAAATCGGCTGGATCGCTGCCGCAAAAAGGAGGGGTCCCAGCGGGTCCCCTTGGCGAACACCCCTGGAACTGTGGATGTGTTCCACTTCCAGACGGGGGTCCATTAAAAGCCGAGAGGGGCCGTCGTAGAGGTTCCTGACGAGCGGGAGCAGCGGGTTGAGAGTAGACCACTGTAGGGCGGAGAGAAAAGACGCGCGTTCGATGCTGTTGAAAGCGTTCTCCACATCCAGCTGTAGAGCGATGCGGGTCTCGTCATCTCTGAGGAGGGAGCGTACCGTGTGGATAATACACTCCGCGCCTCCAGGGACCGCTACGCCGAACTGAACGGGGAGGAAGAACTCCCGGATTTTCGGGCCTAAGCTGTGTAGCGCCGATTTTGCTACCACGCGTAGTAAAGCCTCGCCTATCGCGATCGGCCTTACTCCTCCCCCGGGTTTCTCTAATGCTATGAGCCGGGAAGGCAGTAGGAGGTCGCGTACTATTTGGCGCTGGAAGGAATTGCCAAGGCGATTCACCACGTTTGTCAGGAGCAGAAGGATCTCCTCGTTCGCGAGGGCAGGGTCTCTCAAGTGTTCAAAACAGCAGCCTTAGGGCCCTGCTCACCATTCGGGCACTTCGCGAGAACTTCGCGAAGAGCTTCCAGTGGGATACTGAGCTCGGAGTCGGTTATCCCAGTAACCCAGGCTGGTGTTGGAGTGCTAGCAGACGGGTGTTTCGCTCGCAGGGCAGTCAGTGTCGCCAAATTCGGTTCAGCGAGGGGGCTCGTGCGTAACGCTGCAACTGCTTTCGAAATGTTACCTTTTTTAACCATCGGCTGCCAGTGACTGGCTCGGGTGGCGGACGCAGCGTCAGCCTCGGGAGGAAGAGCAGGATCGCCCATGCACCTGGGCATTCTGGGTTCGTTGACAGCCGTAGGAGTGGCGCTAGGAGGCATAGGCAATATTTGTCTAACACCTGGGGTGGTAGTCGTCTGACTAGGAACGGTTGGTCCATTCGTTGGAGAAGGTCCAAGGTCCACGTGCCTGCCATCTGCCAGATGGCGTCATCCTCTGCCAGCGCGGTCGTTGATTTCACCTCGTTGGCGACTGCTGCGGCTGGAACCGTCGCTCCCACTGCATGGGGTGTTTCTCCTTCCACTCCCTCCCTTGTGCCCCTCGCTCGATTCCGCCCTCTCCCCACTTCCTCCTCGTTTTCTAGCGACACCTCTTCCGACTCTGGGCCCGGTTCTTCTCCACACATAAATTCCGGATCCCCGTTCTCCTCAGCAGAGCCGGCTTCATCCCCATTGGCTGCAGCCTCCAAAACCTCTGGACGGTCGTGACGTTCCCGCCACGGGCCCGTTCGGGCTTGGATCTCAACCCCCCCCAGACGAGCGACACCCCCGCGCCCTCCCCCTCGCCTTCCGCGGCCCATACCGCGCAGACCCCGGCCCGCCACCGGCGCCAATCGCGCCGTGGTCTCCAGTCCCGCCCTCCCCGCCGGCATCCACGGCGTACGGCCTCCCCTTGGAGGACCCCACGTGACAGTGCCCAGGCGAGCCGAGCGACGAGTGGCAACGCCTTCCGTGGCTGGGGCGACTAGACTTGGTGGTGAGTGAACGCCTGCTTCGACGTACTGGTTTGAGGCTGGCTGATCTACCTCGGGGGTTGCTGTCGTCTCATTCGCCACCTCATTGAGTCCGGGAACCCCCCTTGCCTCTTGCGTATGCGCAAATGATGACCGATGCGCTCGCACTGATGGCGGTTGCCCTTGCAGAAGCCAGCCCAGGAGGGGTCCCGGGGGCCCAGGTCCCAGCCCTGCTCCGGGCATGCAACTTCTTCTTCGACTTCGCCCGTGCCGCGCCGGAAGAAACACCGTTCGCGCGTCGGTGGCTCTCCTCCTTCTAGTGGACGTGGGAGGCGTAGGCAGAGGAAGAGCGATGAGGAAGAAGAGTATGACACCGCCGTGCCCGGGGACATCACTACGCGGGCGAAGAGGCGGCAGACGACAATAAGTGCTGACGACGCCGGTGGTGCGGATGTTGGGACAACGCGAGGCGCCAGGGAAGCAAGTGGCAAGGCGACGGGTCATGCATTGCGCCAGAAGGGCCGACCCGCAGCGAGGAAAACATCCGGCGGAAGGAGGGGCAAGAAAGCAGCGAGGGGGAAGAGGCCGAAACGGGGCGAAGAAGACCCTGATGATGCGGAGGAGGAGGATGAGGGGGATGCGGGGGATGAGGAGGAGGAGGCTGATGAGGAGGAGGATGCGGAGGAAGAGGAGGATGAAGAGGATGCGGAGGAGGAGGACGCGGATGTTGGGGAGGAAGAAAAAGATGAGAATGATGACGAGGAGGACGAAGAGGAGGAGGAGGAGGAGGAGGACGAGGATGGGGGCGACGAGGATGAGGAGGAGGAGGAGGAGGAGGAGGAGGAGGAGGAGGAGGAGGAGGAGGAGGAGGAGGAAGAGGAGGAGGAGAGGGACGACGAGGATGAGGAGGAGGGTGAGAGGAGGAGGAGGAGGAGGAGGAGGAGGAGGAGGAGGAAGAGGAGGAGGAGGAGGAGGAGGAGGAGGAGGATGAGGAGGAGGATGTGGCGGCAGTGAAAGGACGGGGCGGGCGAGGCAGACGGTGGAGTGGTACAGGGAAGGTTGGGGGCCGGACTCGCCATTCCCGAAAACGCGGGGCAGGTGACGCCCCGCGTGGCGAAGCAGCGGGCAAACCGAAGACGCGTAAAGTGAAGGTCGATAGTGAAGGGGGTGGTAAAAAGCAAGGGAGCCAGGGAGCAAAAGGGGATGGTGAAGGAAAGGGTGGCCGCGCCAAAGGGGTTCCAATGGGTTCCGGCAAGAAAGAACCAGCCGGTAAACGTCGCAGCGGCCGCCAAAGCACCCCGCGGAAAGGTGGCAACGAGAAGGCGCAGGCAGCAAAAAAACCGAAGGGACAGCAGAAAGGTAAGCACTGTGGCCCATACACATGGCGTGGCTGCTGAACTCTCTGCTCAACCGTGCCAATTAACACATTTCTTCACATTGTTTCTCCCCTGCAGGGAAGGACAAGGTCGACGAATCTGCAAAGCAAGGTAAGGCCTCTTGTTACAAAACAGCACCCTTTATAACCCGATTTAGATTCAAACCGCTGATCGCATGCAAGCATGTGTGCCCCTGTATTGAAACTAATCGACTCTAATTTTGTGCTCCTGCTACCTATAAATCTTAGCCCCTCGTGTTACAGGCATTGGGCCACCGGTAAGCGTGCAACGGATGCAGCTAACGAACGGGGCCGGAAGAGCGATTGTTACCCCGCTATCCACAGGAGCCCCAAGGTTCTATACGCCATACTCCGGCCCGTCTAAAGTCGCTGCTAGGGCACCCGGCGCACCAAGAGGAGAGGAATCCGAATCCCCTCCACCAGGCCACGTCACGCACTCCCCACTCGCCTCACCCTCATACCCATATCGGCAGCTCCACGCTTCTCCTGTCCGGGGCAGGGCCGTCTGCCCCCTCGCCGGTCCTTCGCGCGGGCAAGGGCCAAGCACTTCTGCCAATCCCTTCCCTGAGCTGCCCTTTTCCCGCCAGCGTGATAGTGTGAGGGCACACGGGACTGCTGCAGAAGACGTTGATCCCCTTGGCCAAAGGGGGGATTCTTCACACCCTTTTCCCCCGCTCATGGGTGCCCTAGGTGATAGTGCGGAGCACGAGCAGTTTGTTACACGGGAGGAGTTCCAGGCGCTACGGTCTGAGATGTACGCCATGTTTGCTCAGCTCGGCCTCCGTCGTGGAGTACCTGCCAGTTATGCCGGGGGGTCCGCAGTGGTGCCTATGAAAGGTACCCCGCCGCCGATGAGTGCCGTGGACAAGGCACGAGTGCGAGTGTTGCAGGAGACTAACCCATTCCCGGTATGTGGCGGGCCAAATGGGGCGGGTTGGGGTTGACGTGGCAACCAGGGCAGGGTTGGGGATGACGTGGCGGTTTTGGAGGGTACAAGGAAGCGGCGCATGACGAGGCGAGGCATGTTAGGTGGGTGGGGGGTGACGTGGCTTGGGGTGGGGGGGGGGTGACGTGGCAAGTGGGGCGGGTTGTTGGTGGACGTGGCAGATGCAGGAGGGTGTGACGTGGCGGAAGGTGAGGGTTGGGGATGACGTGGCGGTTGGGATGAGTACAAGGGAGCGGCACATGACGAGACGAGGCGTTTAAGGTGAGGGTTGGGGATGACGTGGCTTGGGGTGGGGGGGTGTGACGTGGCAAGTGGGGCGGGTAGTTGGTGGACGAGGCGGATGCAGGAGGGTGTGATGTGGCGGAAGGTGAGGGTTGGGGTTCACGTGGCGGTTTGGATGGTTACAAGGGAGCGGGGCACGGCGAGGCGAGGCGTGTCAAGGGGGTGGGGGGTGACGTGGCTTGGGGTGGGGGGGGGGGGTGACGTGGCAAGTGGGGCGGGTTGTTGGTGGACGTGGCGGATGCAGGAGGGTGTGACGTGGCGGAAGGTGAGGGTTGGGGATGACGTGGCGGTTGGGATGAGTACAAGAGAGCGGCGCATGACGAGACGAGGCGTTTAAGGTGAGGGTTGGGGTAGACGTGGCTTGGGGTGGGGGGGTGTGACGTGGCAAGTGGGGCGGGTTGTTGGTGGACGTGGCGGATGCAGGAGGTTGTGACGTGGTGGAAGGTGAGGGTTGGGGTTGACGTGGCGGGTTGGATGGGTACAAGGGAGCGGGGCACGACGAGGCGAGGCGTGCCAAGGGGGTGGGGGGTGGCGTGGCTTGGGGTGGGGGGGGGTGACGTGGCAAGTGGGGCGGGTTGTTGGTGGACGTGGCGGATGAAGGAGGGTGTGACGTGGCGGAAGGTGAGGGTTAGGGATGACGTGGCGGTTGGGATGAGTACAAGGGAGCGGCGCATGACGAGACGAGGCGTTTAAGGTGAGGGTTGGGGATGACGTGGCTTGGGGTGGGGGGTTGTGACGTGGCAAGTGGGGCGGGTAGTTGGTGGACGAGACGGATGCAGGAGGGTGTGACGTGGCGGAAGGTGAGGGTTGGGGTTGACGTGGCGGTTTGGATGGGTACAAGGGAGCGGGGCACGACGAGGCGAGGCGTGTCAAGGGGTTGGGGGGTGACGTGGCTTGGGGTGGGGGGGGGGGGTGACGTGGCAAGTGGGGCGGGTTGTTGGTGGACGTGGCGGATGCAGGAGGGTGTGACGTGGCGGAAGGTGAGGGTTGGGGATGACGTGGCGGTTGGGATGAGTACAAGGGAGCGGCGCATGACGAGATGAGGCGTTTAAGGTGAGGGTTGGGGTAGACGTGGCTTGGGGTGGGGGTGTGTGACGTGGCAAGTGGGGCGGGTTGTTGGTGGACGTGGCGGATGCAGGAGGTTGTGACGTGGTGGAAGGTGAGGGTTGGGGTTGACGTGGCGGTTTGGATGGGTACAAGGGAGCGGGGCACGACGAGGCGAGGCGTGTCAAAGGGGTGGGGGGTGGCGTGGCTTGGGGTGGGGGGGGGTGACGTGGCAAGTGGGGCGGGTTGTTGGTGGACGTGGTGGATGCAGGAGGGTGTGACGTGGCGGAAGGTGAGGGTTGGGGATGCCGTGGCGGTTGGGATGAGTACAAGGGAGCGGCGCATGACGAGACGAGGCATTTAAGGTGAGGGTTGGGGATGACGTGGCTTGGGGTGGGGGGGTGTGACGTGGCAAGTGGGGCGGGTAGTTGGTGGACAAGGCGGATGCAGGAGGGTGTGACGTGGCGGAAGGTGAGGGTTGGGGATGACGTGGCGGTTTGAAAGGGTACACGTGAGCGGCGCATGACGAAGCGAGGCGTGTCAGGTGGGTGGGGGGTGACGTGGCTTGTGGTAGGGGGGTGTGACGTGGCAAGTGGGGCGGGTTGTTGGTGGACGTGGCGGATGCAGGAGGGTGTGACGTGGCAATTTCACACAGTGTTGCTAGTCACCATCCCCTGGTCCAGCCGCCACCCTCATAACTGCTGGTTTCTCTCTCCCATGTCGTGTTGTATACCCTACACCCCTGCGCAGAACAAAGCCTACTTAGTGTGCTCTCAGCTCATGTTTGTGAACCCGCCGGAAAAATACAGTACTACCCTGCACCGGAGGAAGTGTTCGACGCGTTCTCTGTCCACTTGTCTGCAGAAGGGCTCGAGGCAATGAAGCTGCTGTGGTTGCACAATGACAAGTCAGCCATGAGAGTCTTCGACCACCAGATGTCGTCAACAAGGTCAACTATCAACTCCACCCTCAGGCCAGCAGCATACACCGGCATGGGCCTTGCCGATTACAGCCATCTCGTGGATAGCCTGCCCACTGAGCTACACCCAACGACGTGGTTCGACGACGAGCAACTCCTAGCCGAGTACAGAGATGGTATGTGCAACTCGAAAACACCATATGTCCCACCATATGCCGGTTGGCAGCTACATATCACCGTGCGATGTGGCTCACCCCGACTCTCATCCCCCCACTTGATTTCTCTACAAAACCCTTTCCAACCCATACCCTCCCTGCCAAAATGCAGAACAGTAAGCCCTCAAGTGGCACTTTGACAAGGCCACCGGGATGCCCTTCAGCAACCCTTTGTTCGCTTATGCGTTCAAGCTCTCCTTCAAGAGGGGCGGGGCCGTGTTCACCAAGTTCAAGAGCCGCATGGTGGCATGGGGCCTGTTTTCGGTAAGGATGTAAATATGTGTTTGTACCCCCATGCCTCATCCCCTTAACCCCTTGCCTGTACTTCAGCTAAATCCCTGGTCGATTAAGCTCTTGCAGTTACGTAGATAGTGACGACTGAATCACCGCTTTCAGTTGGCTCCTTTACCCGTAACCCACCCTCCTCATAAACCAATCCACCCAACCCTACACCACATTGCAGATCGAATGGCCCCTTCTGCAGGATAAGCGTCGCAAACGAATTAGTAGCCAGCCGGAACAAAACAGGCCAGACTACTTGGAGTGATGTGAAAAGGTCAAACAGATGATCCACTTTGCATTCGTGGAGCGGAGGATCCCCCACGATCCGGCTATGGGTGCGTTCGTCTTTCCGAACAAGTTCCTCATCGACGATGGCGACCTTGGAGAGGTCGTCCTTGCCCACCGGGCGCTTTCAAGGCCCGGCAGTGCGTAGGCTATTTGACCTGGTGTTAAGACTGCTTGTTGCTAGAATGCTGAATAATGGTTGTTGTAAACCGCAATAATAAATGCAATTTTGAAATCCTCAATATCCAAAATGAACAAAAACAGAATTTAGTTTTGAATAATTTGGTCACGAATTTGCACCAAAACGGATTGCGCCAGAATGTCATCCGGAAAAGCTCGCGTGCCAAATTGGAACTTGAACCGAGCCAAACCTTGTCGCGAGATGTGTCTCGGAGCTCCTATCAAATGACTCCAACCGTCGGTCCAAATTGGCTCCGGATTTTTTTACGCGAAGACAATCGAAATCAAAATTCATCCAAACTTGGCATAGGGTTTTTGTGATGCCCCTCCACCACCACCGCCGCCACCACCCTTCCCCCATTTCTTACCTCCCCTTCCTCGGGTCTGCCCACTAGCGACGGACACGGCTGTAGTAGGAGACGCAGAAGACATAAGAGAAGCAGTGAAGGTGGGAAGCTGTGGGACAATACACCCCTGAAAGAGCGGGGGAACTACGGCGGCAGTAGCGGAGGCAACGGAGCGGATGTTGCTCTTGATAACCTTAAGAGCTGTCTCAAGGATGTCGATATTGAGCGCACTAGGGTGCTTCCGAAGAAGCGCGTCGCGTGCAGGTGCAAGGAGGCCAGGGAGGCTAGTGACTATAATGTGAAGCGCGACATGCATGGGCGGGGGGGCGGCTGCAAGCTCAGCCTCGGTACAAGCAGCAAAGTTAGCATCGAGCGAGCGCAGGTGGGTGACAAGGGAAGCAGTACAGTCAAACGCTCCAAGGTCGGGAAACACAAACGGCATGAGGAGGCGACCAAGAGAGGCGGAGGAGGGAGTGGAGTAACGGGACTTAATCGCATCAAAACAATCCTTGGCAGATCGAACCTGGCTGAAGTAGGGTTCCTCAGTCTCGAGTAGAAGGCTGCTGAGAGCAATACGAGCCACAGCGTCACGAGACTGCCACACCGACAGAGATGCACATGCCTGAGCAAATCTCTCCCGATCTGCGTCAGTAGGCTCAGCAGGTAGGTCAGCAGGACGCTCAGGTGAAGGCAGGTCACCAGAGGCGTGGCGCTGACTCTGGAGGTACAACTCGGCTTGTAGGAGTCAGGTGAGGAAATCTAGTGCTCTACCCTCCGCATTGAAACACAGGACCCAAGAGGACGCCATGGTGAGTGCTCTACTGGACTAGGAGTGAAAGGCTAGGAACGGCCGGAGCTAGAGCCGAATGGAGCCAGAAAGACTAGTCTGGGAGTGACCAGGGTGTAGAGTGAACGGAGTAATGGTGTGAAAGTGCTAGGAGCGGCGTGCAAACCCTAAAACGACGCTTGAGAGGAAGAACGAGACCCTAAGAGCTACGCCAGTAAAAGAGAGAGGATGCGGCCTCCAGACGCTGCGAGAAGTGTCACCAAGAGCACAGCAGTTGAGGCTGCTGTGTGTGAGGTGCTGTGTGC